ATCGTAAATATTATAGTTTATTTTTTTAGCTTTTGAAAATAATTTGCTCTTAGCCTACTAAATCTGTATTTGGAATCATCTTTTTTATTAATTAACGATATATACTGCCTTACGCGTTTGTACCTACACATTTAAATAAAACACTTTAAATGCTTTGCAGCAGCCGTCTCCCCGTGACCACGATTTAACTAATATATATCGCGTTTTAAACCGTTGAAGTGTTTCATTTTAAAAAAATATGTCGCGTGTGTTTCTTTCTATTTCTCATCCGTATCATATTCCCTCGATTTTTCTGTAAGCACTATTAGAGCAAAAAAATGTCAAAGATGTTGTCCATCAAAGATTTAGGAAAAACGACCTTGATATTTATAATAACGTATAAATATCGTATCAGTAAAGGAAATATAGCTTTCAAATCATAGAAAGATATTAAGGATAATGAAGTATAAGGCTGATAATCCATAATATCTGATAGAAGCCATACAGGTCACTCAATTAACGTCAAAAAGTTTGGCAAACACCGCTGTGCAAAAATAGGTCAATTACCTCTATATTTTCCTCATGTTTCCCAACGTACTTGGCAAAATCTTGTCATTTATAACTTATATAGACGGGTGTTCTAATAAAGAGAGCTAACTATCTATTTTAGAGACTGTCACATTTAAATAAAACAATAACGGTTTAAGACGCGATATATATTAGTTAAACTTATTTGAAAATTATATTAACCACGGCCCGACGTTTCGGATGCATTGCAGCAGCCGTGGTCACGGGGAGACTAAAGATGGAGGGTGTCTCTAACGTCAAAGTAGAAGCTGCTACGCTAGCGCCATTATTTTTTTAGCCAGGGTCACCGGAACTCGAACAGGCCTGACTCGAATCTTGGAACACGGGATCACGGCTTCTGCTCTTCCAATGTAACAAATTTCCCATTATGTATGCACATCCCTGGGAATCTCATTACGTTACTAACTACTGCGTCTTTAATTGAAAGTTTTAATTAGCTCCCTGAGCTTTGTCGGTTTTGTTTAAAAGCTCAATTTGTTTGTGTTCAGGTCTTGTATGAACTGAAGTGTATGTTTTATCAGGACAAAATTAATGTATATATATTCTACTCAACACTTAAATCACAACCCCTTTGTAGTCAAATGGTGAAACGTGATTATGTTAACCGCCAGAGGTCCTGAGCTCCGATCCCGGGGAAACAATAGATTGTTTCGGTCAAAAGTCAAATCATCTACGTGCTCTAAAAGTTTAATTATTTAATATTTTATTATTATAATGGGATTATTTCCTTAATTATTATTTATTTTCAGAAATATTCTAATTAATTCAGGCTTACTGACCATTACTAATTATACTTCACACGTGTGACAGATAGCCTTCGATCTACAGACGCCATAATATCCTCCGATTGTATCTTGAAAGCAAATCAGATAAGCTTCCTGTTACCCTAATAGCTTTGATTCAAATTGTTTTCGTGTGTGCTGGTACAGCTTGCAACGGAATTAACTCGTATGTCGTTTACGCTATTCACGAACAAAATCCGAGGCATGAATAAGTGGTCTCTATAGATGATATTTTAAATCTACACTATAAAGCTAAAGAGATTGTTTGTTTGAACGCGCTTTTCTCAGGAACTACTGGTTTAAGAATATTTTTGTGTTAGTTAGAGCATTTGTAACGGAGGCAATAGGCTATATAATAATCTTACTGCAATTGATAGGGGCAAAGAAACAGAGGGAATTGTGGAGAAAACGGGGAGCATTATTCACCTTTGTCGGTTTCCGTTGTGTACGCTGCGAAAATGGTTCAAGTTGCCCAAAAAATATGCAAGAAAGCATGATTTTTCTTTAAATGATCTAAAAAAATGTCCCCAACACTATATCTTTTAAGATTAACTTGCGAGAATGACGGGACGCGACCGACGTCGTGAGCAACAGCTTTAATCTATAAAGATAAAGAAGAGGTTCGCAAGAACAAATCTTAATGCCCAAAATAACTATTCTTCGCGAAGCCACTGAAACGGCTAGTGTTGAGTATATGAAGCTATGTTGTGATTAAATATTGAACATAAAAACAATAGCCTCAATACTTTATTCATTTATTTAAATACTTCCCGCTGTGTACATTCTTAATACGCCCGCACTGTATATAGTTAATTTCTCAAACTGTTGAACAATTTCTCAAGATGTGCCAAACAAATTTCTTTTCTGACGCTACTCCCTCCATACCGCTTTTGATTAATAGAAAGCTTTCAGTTTTTATTAGTGATAAACTGATATTAATACTTCCGAAGCCACAAATGTTGAACGTGATCCGTATATTAAGGCTTTCTGGGGCGAATAATTGAGTTATCTCCTTTTACTTCTGTCGCTAACACTTCAGAATAATAAGATCTGTTTTCCTCTTGCATCTGTAAGAAGATTAGATTTTCCGTCTATCCAGTATTGTACAAACTACGTGGGACGGTCTTGGTATAATATCTCTACGTTGTTACGGTCAGAATATACTTTTAAATCCTACCCACTTTATTACGTATAATGTCTGTGTCTTCTTCGCTCAGTGGTATTTGATGCAATTATGCTTATCAAAAAAGATATTTACGTGACGTAGCAAAGAAATATACAGACATTAAGACGAATCTATACTAATATATAAAGGTGGAAGGTTTGTTTTTGAACGAGCTATCTAGGAACTCTGAACTGTTGCTTACTGGTTTAAAATTGAAAATTCTTTTCGTGTTCGTAAGAGCATTTATCAAGACTATAAAACATTTCGATGCGAATAATAAGAGCGAATATACAGTAGGAATTGTTGAAGGAACTGCAAAAATTATTCATGATTGAGGGTTTCCGTTGCGTGCGTTTCGAAAACAGTTTAAGTTCCCTAAAATATATATATTTGAAAGAATGATGGCTCTTTAAATGATCTAACCATTTTCCTTCTGTATTTTATTACAATCTTTCTTAATGAATATTATTTTTAAATAGTGAAACTTAAATGTAGCTCATGCAAATCGTAGTTGTGGTTTGTTCGAGGCGGTTAAGGTCTGAATTTGATATCTAACTTTCCTAACTTTCTGACTATAAGACCGTTATGTCCCCAGGGATTTAAGTTTACCTCGTTACGGCAGTAAGATAGATTTATAAATTGTATTGTTAATTATTGTAGCAATTCTGAGGTAAGAATTGAATCATGACTTACGTTATTTACAGAACCACTAAAAAAGTAAACGATCACAAACATGTGTATTTCAACACAAACAAAATTAAATTAGTATGATATAATATCATAACGTTTGAAAACTTTAATATTTTTCACATGTCATTATATGTTCATTCAAATTATATAGTGCCTTCTTGTGCAATAACTAATAAATCAAAAATAAATTGACAAAAAAGACGTTGAACCTTAATACGCAAGTGTTAAGGTTGCAATTACATTGCTCGAGAGGTATAAGTTAAAAAATTCAATAATTTGAAAAATTCGACGATAAGGTATACCTCATCCAGTCCTATAGGACTCGCTAGCTCAATTGGTAGAGCAACAATACGGAACGCGGACGATGCCGGTTCAAGTCCTGCCCGAGTCGAAAAATTTTTCAATTTATTATCGATTTTTAAATTTAATATCATGATCACAGATCCTTGTTCTGTTTTTCTTTACACTTTTCGTACTCAATAGCGGGTTATTATGACAGTTACAAAACATAATGATGCAAGATATTCACTTGAAAACACACAATTTCGTTGATTGGGGGGTGAACTTGAAAGGAATGTATAATAAAAATGTTATGACGCACGCCACGTTGTAGATGAAAATGGCGAATGCGTTAAGCTAGGCGCTGATTTATTGTCAGGTGATTCAGACTAGATAAATGGTTATCTAGATTACTTTAAAGGATAAATGTATTGCTCTCCAAAGCGAATACAAAGAAGTAGTTCTATGGCGTATGTTAATTTGAAGTTATAGGCCTTGGGTATTAAATTTTCAACAAGTGAACTTGTTTGTTACTTCTTTCGTAAATGAAAATATGTAGTTCAAAATCCGATAACAAATGCTATCAGACAAGTGCAAGACAGTTTTATATACTGATAAACACTATTTAAAATTCATAGGGTCATTGTAGGTGTGGTTTTAAAGTGTAGTTTGACTTCAGCTAAAACAATTAATATTAGTAATAATCACTTATATATTTAAAATTATACATAATTATAAATATATATTTCACTTATTGTGTTGCTATGTAGACTTAGTTCGATGGAAGACTTTCTTAATCATGCAAATAATGTATTTCATTTAAGTGTTTAAATTGAAATATTCAAACCTGTCAATCAATATCTACCCTAATCCAAATTTTGCTAGGGCGGCTAAAAGGGTTGCTTGTGTTAGCGGTTTTCCTCCCACACATATCCGTCTAAAGGTTCTCTTTAGTGAACCTTCAATGTACTGTACTGTATAAGACCGTAACCCTTTTTATGGAAAGTATCACTTTGTCCTTTTCGGTGCCCGATATCCGTCTTTTGACATTTCTTAGTTTCCGAGGCTAAACGTTCAAAAGGCGGCTACGAAAACATAGAATTCTTTTGCGAAATGTCTTTTATCGTTATGAGGGGATTAGTAGGCTATATTGTTAGCTGTTATTCAGCGAAATTCAAACCATCTGAAGAATTCCTTTGATATTCAAATGTGTGACACAAAGGATCGGCTCTCAAAATTGGGAACTTGAAATCCATTATAATTTACCTTCAAGCGTAATGAAATGAATATAATATCGTTTCAGTAGAATGCTCTTATATTTAAATTATATAGCTATAGGATCGATGTATGGAAATCTTTTAATAGAAATATGAAATCGACTTAAATATTAATTCAATTTCAATTTAAATGCTATTAAATAATTTTATACAAACTTCTCGCTCGTTCTCTCAACTTTCGACATAAAATTAAAACTATTGAGTGACATTTCTAAAAAACTTTGATAGACATTGTTTAAAATGTCACGAAAACATTCCGAAGCGAAGGTTAATAGAAAATGTAAATGTAAATTAAAAACTGTTCTCGAATATTTGATCGCAGTTCCCGGTTGTTCAGGTGATCTGGCCGCTGTATCGTCATTACCGGAAGAGTGGACCCCCGGTCATGGTGGACCCACACTTTCAAAATACCTTGAGCAACGCGAAAATAATCATAAAGAAGTACTCACCAACATAAAGAAGGAAGCCGACATTGTCAACAATGAAATCGATAGTAAAGTTCGCGATATTGCTGAAATACTACTAGCCGATATCCGAAAACATAAACAAGATATTGAATGTTACGTAAAAGAATCAGAGCCGGATAGCGGTGTCCTATCTGTCGAAAAGCGTAACGAGTGTTATAAAAAAATTACACAGGTGTTCTCAGTATGGACACAAGCTCTTGCAAATTTTAAAGGAGAAGCTCTAGCTTTTGAGAGGGAACGCATTGAAGGTATTAAAACGGTACTCAAAAAACATTTTCAAATCTTAGTGAAAGTTGGGCACAAGTCCCCTAAAGATTTATTGCATGAATTCGATGGTCGTATGTATGTAATAAACCAACAATTAATAAGCAATTGCAGAGCGTACACGGAATTAGAAGCGCAATTGCGCAGTCAAGCCGACGCGTATATTGTTCGAAGTAGGTCTTCGCTTAATGAATTTTGTTTGGAAAAAGCTTCTTTTCTAAGGGGAAGAAGTGCTTTACCTTGGATGAATGAAACACAGCGTAAACGATCATCTAGTTTAGAAACGAAACTAAAAAAGTCTTCGGACGCTATACCCTCGAGTCAAAACATGGAAGGTTTTAAGGACTATATATCACAATTAGTTAAGGCGTATAGATCCGCTGTTCTACAACTGTGTGCTGATTTTAGTGGCCAACTCAATAATTTGCAAGAAGATTTCGATAGATACGCATTTTTGGAAAAACCGCGCGTATCAGTCTTATCCAGGATACAGAAAACGGTCGATCGAGCTTTCAGGAAGTTTTCAGATACGTTCTCTCAAAGTAAAGTTCGAGTAGAGAAAGTCTTACTTGACATTACATTTAACGATGTCGTCCATATGCAGAAAAGTTTGTGTCACTTCGGTGATCGATTGCAGAGTACATATTTGATATTGCATGACGCCGGATATCTGTGGGACGGTCATATGTTACGGTCAGCGCTCGTGCAAAAACTAATGATGACGGGAGTAGAGGATATGATGACGTCGCATGACGCAGTGGAATTAGCCAATGAAGTAGCGTTTAATATTGGCCTGGAACAATTACGCGCTGCACCCGACTTAGATAAATTGCAACAACAATTCGATTTATTATCTAGTATGCTAGATCGTTTCGAAGAGATATATCATCAACACAAAGAGTTGGAAGTCAAAAAGCTAGAGGAGTACATGAACTTACCTTCAATTATGTCTAATATCATGCTTGCTGAATATGAATGTTTCTTTGAGAAGTATCCAAAGTGTCCTCTAAACTCGAACCAAAGTTTGAACAGTTCACCGGATCTAGTCTCTCCGAGACGACAAACTTTAATCTCGTTAAGAGCGCCTCTTCCGCGAGTAGTTTTACAAACGCATCTACAAGATGTGGCTCTGTATAATTGGAGAAACGGATTCCTGGAGTCTTTGCAGAATAATGCTCCGTCAGTAACGGATAACATAAATTGGCAAGCTCGAAGGTGGGTGGACGAGCACACAATGCAGGTGAATATGCGTTACTCGCTAAAGCTCATGTCACATAGTGTGCGACTAGAACGCTTGAAGGCAGCCCGCGAAGTACGTTCAAACGAATTAAAGTACCACGAACGCGTCATTACATCTCATTTAAACGCAATGAACGATTTGATAGACAGTCTTCCGATGGAGATAGCGGAGCACCTAAGTTTAGATTCGCCTCAGCTATATCCTCTTCCTTATTGGGTGAACAAGATTCAGTTAGATATGGATCAGATGATTGCCAGCGATCCTGATCCAGAAACGAAGAGATTGAAGATGAGTAGCTACGCGCCTAGGCTGGTGATGTTTCGACGTCTTTTCGAAGAGTCTTTGGACGTGGCGATGGAGGAGTATAAGAAAAATATTCAGCAGCGGCTTCAAACAGTAAGGCTTTCAACGTTCCAGTTAATTTCTCAGATAAAGTTCCCGACAGAAGGTGGGACACACGTACCTTCAGAGGCAACAAAATCGATGTCTGCCATTTTGAAGATGTGTGACGCGTTTGAGCTGTGCGCTAACAAGAGTGTAGATATGGTGAATCATAGACGACAACAGCTAATCTTGATGGCGGATCAGTTGCTGCATCCTCTGACACGGTCTGTGGAAGATGTCTTCAAGACAACTGATAAAAAGAAGCCCACTATGCCAACGAAGAAGAAGTAGGTTGTGAATTGAATACTAAATTACTGCTGTTTACTGCTATCTTAATTAAAACATACACTTTCTATATGAACACAATGGGCTATTTAACTAATTTTTTAATTGTATTAGATATTTATAAATTTTGGTAGATGTAAAGGGGGGTTAATTAGAGCAGAGCATTTTAAAATTCTGATACATATTTGCGAAAATGATATATTTCAGCAAAATTAAAACTGCAACATTTAAATTGCGCGCCAAAACGCTAATTTTGAAATACGGCTAGTGACGTCAGGACCTTATATTGACCATTGGTGTATATCGATCATATGATTGATGTAATAAAATGAGTTACAAATTTCAGAGAATAGAACAGTTTTAACACTAGGAAGCACGGTGGTTTATAGCACTGTTTATAAGCAAGTGACGTCATCATTAACCCGACCAATTAGGAGCTTTTTGTGTCATTTTTGTGTTTTTTATTTAAATTATTTATTATTTTTAACATATGTGACTATTTTACTTTTTCTAAACTTGTACTTAGTACTGATAACAATAATTGACGCTATATTTTTCGCATTGTCAAATAGCCCATTAAAAGTGGGCATGTTTGTTTATATTCGAATAGTTGCTGTTATAAATGCTTAGCATTTTTTTTTGTTTTACTATAAACCAAGTCACTAAAACCGCAGAACATTTTGATATCAATTTAAAACAAGCCTTTCCGCACAATGAAGTCCGTTTCTAGGAAATAATTTCATTATACGCTTCCAATATCGACTAGTTCGCAACTTTGAAAAGCTTTCGTCCTTGTATTTAATATAAGTTAGGTGTTATCAGTTTACTGTAGGAAATGAGAAATTATTTTTGTATCTTCACTAGCCACGCCATGGTGTTACTTTCTTATGGTTGAAAACACGAAAAGTTTTATAATTTTGCCATGTATTAAGTTTGAACCCAAAAATATACAACGGTGACATAAACATAATGGCAATGTAATACATACATAATTAAGCTGTCTAGTTTGTTTTGCATATCAGACGAAGTACAATCTCATGCTGAAAAGAGTACACAATAAATTTACTCCTTACTTATATATGAGACTGTATGGCGTGTATCCTTTTTACCCGCTCATATATCCCACACTCTTTGTTTTGGCCATTTTGGGCTATAATCAGCTCAGTGTTAGATATTTGCTCAAAATTCTGGGAGAAAAGGTACATAACGCGGATATTTTGGGGTCTAACGTTATAAATGTGCCAAATGAATATATTAGGCGTAGAAAGATTTATTTAACTATAGACATATTTCACTGCTTCCTGGGTGAATTCATAAAAGTAACTAGATATATCACATGTAATTATTAATATTTTAACGTATTTATATATTTTTTTCTCTCGTACTAGGTTTTACTTATTAACGTAGACGTTTCTGTCGTTTTTATATTCTATGATCCAAGTCTGAAAATGTTAAGGAACTTTTCAGACACGATTAATTACAAAGGTATGTTATAAATAATTCGAGGCTAAATTGCGTTCGGGATGTAGCGTTTAAAAGATTCGAGATTTGTAGTCCGCATCGACCCGGCGTAATAGACATTGTTTGCAGTTCACTGGAAACGGAGCTTTTGTTTTATCCACGCAAATCTCTTATTTGTTGCAAGAATACTCTTATTTGAATCGGAGCGGTTTGCGTTTCAATTTCGCGTTCGCGGAAGAGGTCCATTATAAAGTATTAAATCCCGCTGAAAGTGTACAAATTATAATTGGTATCTTATTTGAGAAAATATAAGTGTACTTTGCTTACCCGAATACTATGCCGAAAACGGACCAAGTATATTTGTATGTCTGCTTAATATACTTAAATTGTTTGACCCTCTATGTAGCCAGATGGAAAATGAAGTGAGAGGTCCTGGCTTCGAATTTCAGGAAAACAATATTTTTTTGGTCGGGCAGGGCACAGAAGTCTGATCAACTACTTGCCTGTAAAAGATCTGAAACATAAACTCACTTTAATATTAATTTTGTTTACGTATAACTGAGACATTTCCCCAGGATTAAACACACCGCAATCGATGTTTAATAACCGATCCACGAAGGTGGGTATAGATAAAATATAACTTTCCGAAAAAGATATCGTAGCGTGGCGAAGAATTAAAACTTTAGCAATTACCTAGAAAACAACTTCCAAGTAAATTCGATACACGAGTTTCAGAGTGAGGAATATTAAGGACTTTTTATTGTCCCTCTCCGGGGCTTAGTAATCTGTTGTAAAATACTTTACATTTGATTGCTGGGAAACATATCAACCAATGTTTTTGTTGGCCATGATAGTCAGCACGGCAGCACCATTTGACTGTAGCGAAAAGCGATTAGCTTATCGTACCACTTCGTATAACAAATTATAACTTATAGATATTTTCAAGAAATCATGAACAGGATACATACTACATAAGGCAATAGTTAATCCCATATAGGTACAAAAAATACATTCACAAAAACCGAGTGTCATACGAAATATTAATGTCTCGGTAATAATCCGCGACGCAACCGTAAAATTGATATAAGTGTACATAAAAACTTTTTTTTAATCCTGCACCGCAGCACGACATATATTTATCACTCCGTGGTGAAAACATTTTAAATATTCAATTAAATACTATCTATAGTCCGGTTTATATATCTATAGTAGTATTCGTTCGAATTGAAAAAAAATGTATTTATATGAGTCTGCTACTAATAGGAGAGAAGAAACGGATGGAAATGAGAAAAAACGTGGGCTTCCGATGAGTGCGCTGCGATAACGGGTCAAGAAACCACAATACACTTTTTTAAATGATCTAGAAAATGTCCGCGGCAGTAGTTTTCACTAACATTAACTTAAGATGAATTCGCAAGAACGACGGGACTCGGACGACGTCGTGGGTAACGGCTATATTTATGAAGCAAATGAAGTTCACTATAACATCGGACAAATCTGTGCTGTTTTCATAGATCGATTTATTTATTATTCAAGAAAATAATAAGACTTCTATTGCTGTCCAATTGACATAAAACTAACTTTGTTCTTTGGATTAACCTCCTTTCTCGTAATTCAAGAAAAGAACACGATCGAGACAATTTATTCCAGAGCATTTTACGAGTATTACCTACGCCTCGTAAGGTTTTTACGCCCGACAACGTTCGGCAAACATCACTAAGGCATTGGTCTCTTAAAAATGCTACAACACGCTCATGTTGTGATCTGGAAAACATAGCTGGTATACAACACGCCGAATCGCTTGTTATTACTAATAATTGCATCTTATAAACTAGCAATGGTACACTCACCGATTCGCGAAAAATTCGCGCTATACGAATTTTGTTACGATTGTAAGAAGTTTGAATATAAAACTCCTAACTACAAAGTCACGCGAATAATCGCGTGTCCTTTTGCGTCCCCGTTTGAATTTGACGCTCAAGTAGTCTATTCCTGTTGTGAACATACCCATACCCATTGCTACAACGCGATCCGACGGCGCCGGCGCCGATTGTCCCCGAAACTTCCTTTACCAGCAAAAGCAAGGTTATTTGTGTGATTAACTGGTGGTCCAAACGAGGCCGATGCCCCCTGGGGGCATCTTCGGTCTAGCCACGCCAAAACCTCCCGTTAATATAACGGCCCAGGGCCAAAAATAATATCTAATTACAGTGTAACACTTTTTTAATCCTATTAAAAATATTACATATTATGAAGACCACGCTTTATAAGGGTCCATCACAAAGTCTTCACAAAGGAATATTTAAGGTTGTCATAACAAAGTTGAGCTCAAAAAATGTTTGCATTGTGTTCCGAGCCGTCCCTAGGGCGTGCTCTGTGTTATTTGTGTGATTAACTGGTGGTCCAAACGAGGCCGATGCCCCCCTGGGGGCATCTTCGGTCTAGCCACGCCAAAACCTCCCGTTAATATAACGGCCCAGGGCCAAAAGTACATAATGATCTAATTACAGTGTAACACTTTTATTAATCCTATTAAAAATATTACATATTATGAAGACCACGCTTTATAAGGGTCCATCACAAAGTCTTCACAAAGGAATATTTAAGGTTGTCATAACAAAGTTGAGCTCAAAAAATGTTTGCATTGTGTTCCGAGCCGTCCCTAGGGCGTGCCCGACTGTAGCATGAGTTATGTATGAATTGAGTTACATGGCTTTAATAATAGACGGACATTAAGCTTTGTTGAATATGTATCAAAAATAAGTATAAACAAAACACATTCGACCCAACGCGGTTGACATAGAAGCGTGTTTGGCTTAAGAAAATTAAAGAGTGAGACGTGGGTGTTTCTGCTTTTTTTGTTTACCTACAATTTCTTTTACGCTTACTAAATTAATTCACACTTTACGCTCACTAGAATCATAAAACTCCTAGAAATTTAGCACAATAATATAGCAAGACTTCATTCATAATAAAATACAAAATATAATTTTTAATTTACGTATCCGCCTACACAATATCTACGTCTGTCTGTCTACTTAAGACGTGACTGGAAAACTAATTAGGAATTAGGCAGAGATAGCATTTCACATACTTTTAGTATCTACCCACTTAAAGTTTGAGTTACAAGATATTTTCTTTACATAAATAAATTGAATCATTACAAACAAGTTTCAAAGTTTTATGGCACAACAATATTTTATTAGATGATTTGTCAATCTATGCCAACATAGTTTAACGAAACATTTTAATTAGACGTTGCAGGGTATTTCATCATACACCAATTAAACCAAGTAAACTTAGCCCATAAAAATGAATTTAATAATATTTTTAAAGTTAAAATATAACCTTAACAAATAACTAAAGATAAATATGGTACGGTTTATCTTTCATGTAGCTTTTGCTACTGCAAACTATTCGATGAACCTAAACTAACCCATCGAACGGGGTGACTTTACGAATAGTTTAACTACGCCAGGGGTATATTAAACGGTGTTCGCTGCAAAATGGGCGCTCAATCAAGTCGACGCTAAGAATGCTTCGCAAACTTGAGATCTTTTGTGTCTACATATTGTTGGAACATCGCTTTTGTGTCTCGGCTTACATATTCTGATATTCTTGAGCTGCTGACTTTTCGACGGTGTACGGCTTTTGTCGGAGAGAGCAGAATCCCTACATATTATAATTTGATTATATGTACTTTAAGTAATTGCTGCGCAATTAGTTTTATGAAACGGCTAGTGCCGTTTCAGCAACTTCGTTCGCGTAGAATAGTTATTTTGGGCATTCAAAATTGGTTTTTACAACCTCTTCATCTTTATAGATTTAAGCTCTTACCAACGACACCGGTCTCGTCCTGTCGTATGGGTAAGTGAATCTTAAAAGGTGGACATATACTGTTGGCGATAGTTTTTTAGATCATTTAAAAAGGAATCATTCTTTCATACATATTTTTTGGGTATCTTGAACCGTTTTCGCAGCGCCCGCAACGTAATCATTCAATATTCATCATTTAATTTTCCCTGTATGTCTACTGTTTCTTTGCTTCTATTTGGTGCAGCGTGACGTTATATAGCCTAAAGCCTCGCTCGATAAAAGCTCTATCCAACGCAAAAATCACTAATGATTTTTTTCCATTCGAACCAGTAGTTGTGACAAATGACCTACATTTTTGTGTTTTTAAACAAACAAACAAACTTTTCAGCTTATTTCATAATATTAACTTAATTTCTTATTATTTGTCCTTTATCCTAAATTCCATCAGGCTCCAAATACGTCTAAAACGCGAGCGGAAAAATGTTAAAGACTGTCGCAAAGTAAAAATTCTGTTATACCTAATTTTCATTGAATTAAATATTATTGCCTTGTGTTTTTCTTTTCTTTGCTCTGCTCCGATCTCGTAGCGAGAGATAAAAATACTTATCATGTAGACTACTTTTAACTATGCTATGGTCACATGGTGCATGTGTCATCTTCAATGTTATAAAGGTGTCAGTAATATTTGAGGTTGTATAATTGTTTCAGTTGGAGAATGTACAGCTATTGGACAAATACAATCTTAGAAATCCTTCGAAGGGGACGCTTTACTTCGCCACAACACACCTCATATTTGTCGACCATGAGATGAGAAAAGAAACATGGGTATGTACATAATTTTATACTATTATACATGAATGCAAATGTATCGGGTTCGATCCACACTGGGTCAAAAATGTTTCAAATCAATATATTGAACATGGAATCATTTATGAAACATGGACTGCATGAAAATATTACAAATTCGGTCGGGGTCACGAAAAAGCCCGTATAGTTTATCCAATAGGTATATATCGACAGCCAATTTCGTTTATATGTTATATTGCTGGAGTATTTCACCTTAATGCCTATCTGTCCTCTTATATCATAATGTAAAAGTAAAATATATATAAATATAGAGCAACAAAATCAGAAAAGACCTGTGTTGTAATAATATGTTAGTAGGTAGTCAAGCCTACCCGCTTTTACTATAGTATATACTACTCTATGGAAGTTAGCTACAAGAAGTAATAAATCAGTTATAACTGCACCTTGCTTTTATTTGGTCACAACATGGTGACAGGTGTGATTTTAATGCGTTTATAGTTAAAATGTGGGTTTATTCAGTTTAGTAAATTGTTGAAAACGTAGAGTAACCAGTAATCGTCTTAAAGCGAAAAGTTAGATTGAAAGAAACTAAACGTGTGGAAAAATGGAACACGCGCGGCTACCAAGCGTATGAAGTATGGCGGAAGGCGGTTCCGTGAGTCGGGCCGACGCCTGGAAGCAGCAGTTTATAATATTTTTAAAGGCTTCGGGTGTACCAACGGAACCGGCGAGTGATCAATCTAGTTTGTTGATTAACTTAATTGGCCCAGATGGCTTTGACGTAAATGAAACGTTTACTTTAGAGAAGGAAGAAGACAAAGACAATATATACGTATTATTAAATAAATTTATGCATATTTTGATACGAAAAGAAACACCACGCTTATGATCACGCTTTTATAATAATAGATATATTTTATAACTTCTCTTGGTAAAAATTAAGGCAAAAGGAACGGATTTTCTAAGTGTATAATATAATATATAATCTTTCTTATTCCATGTTTGAATAACAGATTCTCCTGCCACACATATCAACGGTGGAGCGGCTACCGATAACCACAACGGGGTCACCACTCCTCGTCCGAACGAAGACCTTTCAGTCGGTGTTCTTCGTGATACCGCGGGAGCGAGACTGTCACGAGATGCACCAGACGCTATTGCGACTCAGTCAACCAGGTATTCATTTTTTCTTTCTTCTCAAAAAAGTAAAAGAGTATGAGGACTCATTGAAATAAAACACTTTTAACGGTTTTAAACGCGAAATATATTAAATTGTGTAAGGCTTTCACGGCCATCGTTCAGCATATCATTGTCTTTCGGGCTGTTCGGCCGATGTGACCGAGAAGAGGTTCTCGACGTTTCGCCATCACATGTGGACGGCATCATCAGGAGATGTCAACTCCTCGATTGCTCGAAGAATTACGAGTTACCCGCCGCGGTCTCAGATTATATACACTCTGACAAGCGCGGATTGTAGTGGTGTTAGATTGTAGGGTGATAGAATTATGACACATTCTTCGACTACTTGTTGGAAAGTTTCGCCATGTACCAACTACGACGGAACAGATAGCGCTAGCTTAGCAGTTTTTACTTTGACATTAGAGACACCCTTTATCTTTAGTCTCCCCTTGACCACGACTGCTGTAAAGCATCCCCAAGTCGGGTGTCGTAGTAAAAAGTAATTTGTAAGCAAGTTTAACTGATATTTTTCGCCTTATAAACCGCAAGTGTTTTATTTTACTGTGCACATTTAGTATTTAAAGTCACTTTCTGGAGAATGGTGATAAACATAAACTAAGATGCGTAATTATAAATAGAGAATTGTATTTTTTTTGGAAATTATTATTAATACTTATGTATATAAAAGTTTTGTGTGTATTATAATTGATAACAGTGTTTATAAGACATGTTAATAAATATCATTTACAGGGCCTACGTAGGATTTATTCAGACCAGCAATTGTATCTTTTAATATTTTCCCTTTGTACATCTTTCAGTAAACATTGAAGAGTTATACTGCTTCAACTACAAATCAACCCCCGACGATCTACCTAAGTCAGCGGGTTGGAATTTCTTCGACATACAAACAGAATACCAAAGAATGAATGTTCCTAACGAACATTGGGTACTATGTAATGCCAACAGAGAATATGAAGTTAGTAGTTACTGTTTATTTTTTAATTAGATTTACGAAATTTCACATAAGAGCAATGTTATTTTTTTTTCATTAACATAATCGATTAATAGCAGGTTAAATTAATTTTAACTTCTCGTTTTTCTGCTTTCGAATATAATATCGAACTTTTTTTATTATATTTAATTATTATTCAATATTATTTCAAAAAGTATATAAGCTTAATGAAAAACACAAACAAAAAATAATAAAACATTTTAATTATGCTTTATTTTAGGCTAGCTTTATGTTCTTGCTTCGATTTTATAACGTTTTTTGTTTCGTTTCAGCTCTGTGATACTTATCCCAATGCAATATATGTACCTTCGCGTGCGTCTACAACAGTTCTACTGGGCAGCGCTAGCTTCCGATCTCGTGGTCGTCTACCTGTGCTGGCATACTTGCATCACAATAAGGCAGCTATTACAAGATGTAGTCAGCCTCTTAGTGGATTTTCAGCTAGGTTCGTTAATATAAAATAGTGTCAGCTTTGACAGTTCCAGATGAGATGATTTTTTGTGCTGTCATTTTCCAGGCAGGCATGTTATACATTTTTAGTTTTACAGATGTATGGAGGACGAACAAATGCTAGATCTGATTAGACGAGCGAATCCAAATTGCGGATACATGTATGTTGTAGATACGCGGCCAAGGGTAAGAAATTTGACCTATGATTACATAACATTTTTTGTACAAAGTATTTGAATCTAAATCACAAAAATTACAAATACGTACGTAACGTTATTCAGTTGAAATTAGAATAATAAATTGAATTCGTATTATATTTCCAGATTAATGCAATGGTGAATCGCGCTGCTGGAAAAGGATATGAAAATGAAGCCTTCTATGAGAACATAAAATTCCATTTTATGGGGATTGGAAATATCCACGTCATGCGCAAGAGTCTCCAGAAACTTGTTGAAAGTAAGTGAAAAATGTTGGCATCTTACAATTGATAGTGATACTAAAAAAAACAGACGTACCACAACATTTTGGTCTTTCAAGCCGGATTATTTTATAGTACTAATTTGTATGCTTGGCTAAAATTGAGTTTGTGCTATACGTTCCCTCACTATTTTCTAACTTATATCACTTATATTTCTGATGTACATTCGCAATACAACGACAAGAAAAATTAAAAACAAAAACTTCTATTATTACAGCTTGCGAGCAGAATACACCAACTATGTCGTCGTTTTTAAGTGGTTTAGAATCGTCTGGATGGCTTAAGCATATAAAGTAAGTATATTAGAAAAATGTATTGTTTTATTGTAGTTTATATTAGCGGCATTTAACACAAGACTTTCGGACAGCGATTGTGGAGACTGCAACAGGTATTAAACTTAATTAAATTACCAATAGTAAAAGAGGTGACGCAAAAGTTTTTAATAAAAAAAGTCATATCAATGTTTTGTATATGTAATTCTATGTATCCATGTTATTAAGTCTATGTTTGTGCAATAAAGAGTTTATTCTTATTATTTATCAATGATAAGAACCCATGAAATAAACACAACTTCACTACCCCAACCCCAACTATTACGGCAAAAATAGTTTAAGTTTACGGTGCTGATCTGTACAATAAGTTACCTGAAAGTTTAAAAAACGCCCATCTATAAACATCTTCAAAAATCATTAAAGTTCCATATTTTAGAATAAGTATAAGTTAATAATAAGCTGTTTTTATTATATATACTGTTTCGTTTAATTAAAGTCCGAGTAAGTAAACACATTTAAGTTTAAGTATTAATGTTTTCTCATTAAGTGAATATGTATATTCTTTAAGAAAATAAATTCTTTAAACCTAAATAAAAAAATAGATTAAAAATCGAAAAAAAGAATTTAAAAAAATTAAGCTAGCGAGTCGAGTTATTTGGTTAGAGCAACAGCAGTAAGTCCTCCAGGAAATTTATTTTGATTGTTAATCCATATAGCATCATGTGCAATAATATGCAAAAATATTACAGTTTTTAAAATAAGATCATTTTAGTTGTTTATCATATTATTTATATTGCCTTTTATATATAGGTTATCTAAATTGTGTTTTTTAGGTCAATACTGGACACATCCTGGTGGATAGCGTGCGCAATAGACAGCGGTGTGAGTGTGTGCGTGCACTGTAGTGATGGTTGGGACCGCACTGCGCAAGTGTGCTCCTTGGCGGCTGTTTGTCTAGAACCACACTATCGCACCATTAATGGATACCAGGTTAGCTATTTAAATGAAACGGTTAAAACGCGAAATATATTATTTAAACCAATGAAAAGTAATTTTAACTACGGACCGAGGTGTTTTCGGATGTTTTGCAGCTGCCGTGGTCACGTGGAGAACAATTTTTTTAAATACATTTGACTACTATATTTCCCATTTTAAAACGTTGAAATATTTTATTTGATATACTACTTTGAATATGCGTATAAGGATGCAATAGTAGTCTTTTCCGATCGACTTACTGAAGGAATAGTAATACTACAAAAAAACAGTCTCTCGGTATCTGACAGCGTTTTCTTACACGCCTAGGTAGCAATGCAGACAACGTTTCGTGGTTTTCCACCCACCAAGTTAACATGTTTCTAATTAATACATTTAATTTCAAACACATTCAAACGTACTGGCCTTTGTGGAATTATGTTTTGGGAAAGTCTGGCTGAAGGTGGTAGCAATATTGAAATATTACCTCAGCTAAAAAACCAGTATGTAAGGTTTTAATCGCGTTTTATCGCGCTCTATGCATTTACGATGTACAAAGCCAAAATAGGTCATTTATATGTTCTTATATTCAAATTCTGATTTCATATATACTAAGCACATTTTTTCACTCTCTCGTTATCCAAATTTCAGGCATTAATAGAAAAGGATTGGTTATCGTTCGGTCACAAGTTCACATCTCGATGCGGTCACGTAGCTGGCGACCCCAGAGAACGTTCACCAGTCTTCACGCAGCTGTTGGACTGCACATGGCAACTTCTGAGACAAGTGCCGGAGGTATATTAAAAAAGCTGCATTGCATATGCACGTTTTTTCTTGTCTTATAATATTGATTTTTTTTCATACTTTCAGGCGGCATTCTGGTTTGATTTAACAAAAACATTAAACAAGGATAGAGCGGTTTCAACTTTTTTACGTTACAAAACTGTAAGATAAGATGGAAAACCTTGTTTAAGTATCAGCTGTCCATCTTTGAAATCTTAAAAAGTGTTTAATATAACTTGAACAGTGACAACTGCATAATTGCGTCTTGGGTTGCTTGGAAGAGATCGCTTCTTAGCGATAAGGCCGGCCATCTATCTTTTATCTTTTCTATTCTATATTTTTCTTTTCTTTTGTGCAATAAATTGTTAATAAATAAAATAAATAATACACACAAATAAATACTAAGAACTCATTATAATTGCAGTTACTTCAAATTGATATTAGGTAGATAGAAACTTGATTTTATTTTTTAATTTCTTATCCATAAAAGTTTATATGTATTCCAGGCTTTCCAGTTCAATGAGCGATTTTTGCTGACGCTACATGATCATGCGCATGCTTGTCAATATGGCACCTTTGTTGGCAATTGCGAGAAGGATAGAAGAGATCTTAGGTATGTAATGGTAACAGCTATTCACAAATTTTTAAACATTAATTCTGCGTATGAGCATAAAGTATAAACTATAGTGATATGATAAATCGATTTTGAAAAATCAATTACGACTCGGGCAGGTTTAGAGCAACAGCACGGAACGCTATAGATGCCGGTTCAAGTCTCGCCCGTTTTGTAAATTTTTATCAATCTAAAATGGTTTTTTTAATAAATATAGTGCCATCATGTGAAGAATATTAAAGTTGCCAAATATAAGATATGATTTTTGGAATTGTTTAAATTTTTCAGACTGTCAGATCGCACTTTCTCGCTATGGGGCTATATGGCCAGTCACCTGAACGAATACAAGAACCCGCTGTATAGTCCAAAAGCGCACCCTGACCTCTTGAAACCGGATCTCTCTGCTCAAAGCATCAGGTGATACAATTCTTTAAGTGTCTTCATAATTTTAAGGTTATAAGCTCCACTATATCCGGTCCAGTTTAGCGATATGCTAGTCGTGAAATCAAATTTAATTTCTTGTTTTATCTATATTTTAATTACGTTACTATCATTTACTACTACTACTACTACTCCGCTGGCGCAGCGACCCAAAGTGGGTCTTGGCCTTCACAACAAGAGAACGCCACTTCCGCCGATCCTGCGTCACGGTTCGCCACTCGGAGACACCGAGTTCCACCAGGTCAAGCTCAACGGCGTCTTTCCAGCGGTATTTGGGCCGGCCAACGGGTCGGCGGCCGTTCGGGATTCCGAGATACGCCTTCTTGACGCTTCGGTGCTCTTCCATTCTTTCGACGTGGCCGGTCCAGCGGAGTCTTTGAGCTCGAGCTTCTCCCATGATGTCAGGGGCGGCAAACAGCTTTTCGATCTCCTCGTTCTTTCGCGGCCGCCAGCTACCGTCTTTCTTCTGTGTCGGTCCCAGAATCTTCCGCAGTATTTTGCGTTCTGTCACTAAAAGCTTTTCCTCATCTTTGAGTGTTAGCGTCCACGTTTCGCAGCCGTATAGAAGGATCGGTCTAATGACTGTTTTATAAATCTTTATCTTTGTAGTCCTGGTCAGCAATTTAGACACTAACACCTTGTCGAGAGCCGCACTACAACGGAGGGCGTTTTGAATTCGGATGTCTATTTCCTCAGCCCGTGTATTTGTGTCCGTTATAGTGCATCCGAGGTACTTAAATTTAGCGGCGCCTTTAAACTTCATATCTCCAATTCGAAGATCATCGCGTCTCTGTCTTGTATTTTTATAGCGCTTCATGTGGAGATATTCAGTTTTCTCGCAGTTGATTCTGAGACCTATTCTTGCAGCTTCGGTGGCGAGAGTTTGTGCAGACAGCTCCACCTCTCGTTTCGTTTGCCCTAGGAGGCCCAAGTCATCCGCATATCCAATTACCTTATGCTGTCCGTTCATCCGCACACCTATGTCGAGTGCCATTACTTTGCGAATGACATGTTCTAGTGCAAGATTAAACAGCATTGGACTTAGCGCATCTCCTTGTTTAAGCCCGGTTACCACGTCGAACTCTTCTGTTAGATCCCCCTCTATCCTGACGCGCATCCTACTGGTTTTTGTAGCAACTTTCAGTAGAGTAATGAGTTTTTCGGGGATTCTAAAATCGACTAGTATGGAATAAAGTGATTCTCTATCAATGCTGTCGGCTTTGCAAAAATCGACAAAAAGTGAGTGTATACCCTGAGCGTACTCCCATTTTTTCTCCATCAGTTGCTTCAGAAGAAAAATTTGGTCAACTGTGCTGCGATTTCCTCTAAACCCACACTGATAATCACCTATGATTTGTTCCGCATAAGGTTCGAGTCGATCCAGGAGTATGTAAGATAACACTTTATACGCTGTCGGTAGCAGGGCTATCCCTCGGTAGTTAGCGCAAGTCTTTTTGCAGCCTTTTTTTGTGGACGGGGCAAATGATACCTACATTCCATTCCTGTGGCTGTCTTTCCATTGACCAAACCTTGCGCAGCAACTGGAAGAGTACTAGTTGTATGGTATCGCCGCCATATTTCCAAACTTCCGCGGGTATACCGTCTATGCCAGGAGCTTTACCATTCTTTAGCCTCCTTATCGCTTTCGTTACCTCTTCGAACGTTAGGGCAGGTACCTCCGTACTTTCTACTCTTTCGGTGAATGAAATTGGGCTCTTCGGTTTAGGGCAATTTAATAGTGCCTGGAAGTACTTCAGCCAAGTTTTTTTCACCTCTGTCGTGTCACTAACAAGGTTTCCATCATCGTCGAGCAGTGACTGAGTGGAGGGTTGGTAGCCTTTCTTAACTGAACGGACTTCTCGGAAGAACTTACGCGCTTCGTTGGCTCTCATCAGCGTCTCCATGTTTGTGATGATATCCTCCAACTGTTTTCGCTTGGCTCTTCGGATCGTTCTCTTTGCTTGCAGTCTCACGTGGTCATAATGCTGCTTCCATGTCGGATTTTGTTCAGCCAGTAGACGGTACGTTCTGGTTTCCTCCACTATTTTTTCGCACTCCTCTGTCCACCATTTTCTCTTCCTCTGCCGTTTTCTTTTCCCGATAATTTCCAGACCTACTTCTTTGATTGAGCTTTTTGTTGTCTCCCAGAGATCTTCTATCTCGATTTCATCAACACTAAGTCCACTAAATCTGTTGCTGACCTCCATCTGAAATTGGTCGGATACTTTTGGGTCTTTCAGTCTTTCGGCATCGATTATCTCTTCTTTGCGTTCTCTTTTCTTATGTTTTCTAGCAATCCTGAACTTAGTTTCGACCCTGAGCATGTAATGGTCACTATCGCAGTTGGCACCTCTAAATACTCTCACATCCTGGATAGAGCTTTTGTGCCTGTCGTCAATTAAGACATTTACTTATTTTTTTTTACCACTTGTCCACTTCGTCAATAAATTTATATTGTTACTGTGTTTATTTAGATATAAGGTTAGTTGTGAGAATGTACTAAGTATAGTAAATATACTTTCACTAGTTAGCTCATAAGTGTAAGAAATGTATAAACCATTAAATAAACATAAATTCATTTATAAAATATATATCTTATCTGTTCAAAGGTTCTGGCGTGGAATGTATTGTCGTCATGAGAGTGGAGTCCATCCTAGAGAGTCGCTTCCAGATCTGCTACCTGCTGCTGTAGAGCACTCGGCAGCTCTGCATCAACATATCGATTACTTGGCAAAGGTACTACTGGTTATAAACCAATTATGTATATGATTTGTGGTAGCCGCGGTACCCCCGTGACCATGACTGCTGCCAACATCCGTATGTCGGATCGTAGTTAAAAAAGTTAATAAGTAAATTTACAAACCGTGGTATTCAAATGTATGTCAGTGAATATACGAATAGTATTAAATTGGAGAGCTTTTCCGTTTATTTGAACGAGCTTATCTCAGGAACTACTGGTTCGAATTGGTAATTTTTTTTGTGTTCGTTGGAGCATTTATCGACGAAGGCTTTTAACGACAGACTGTGTGAAAATCAGTGGGAAATGTGAAAAATCAGAGAAAATTATAAATCTCCTAAAAAATAGGTATAAAACAATTATTCGTCTTTAAATGATCAAAGATGTTTATATATACTATCTTTTAAAAGTAACTTACAAGAACCGTTTTTATCGGAATATATAGCAAAAGAACCTTTGCCAGGCCAGCTAGTACTATATTAAGTAAATAAAACTTATATTTATCATAATCTATATAATATATACTTACTCCGATATATACTTACGATTTTCATAGCGAATAACCACATTCAAGAAACTACTCTCCGGCAAGAAAGAAAAGAATCTTGAATCTAGCGTGAACTATCAGAACGGAAACTTGGAGACAGTTGAGATTGAGACCAAAACAGCTGGACTACACATTGATAACAAGTAAAATAAAGTTTTGAAAACTTTAATAATTTTCACATATTATTATATATGAATTAAATCCTTTGAGATTGAAAAATATTGACCACACGGGCGGGATTTAAACTGACAGCACCGCGGAATGCTCGTTTAAGCCCCGTCTGTGTCGTTATTTTAATCTCAACACATTTATAATTATACAATATAATTCACTTACTTTTTTATATTTGGAAACAGTAATCGTAATCAAAAACATGGTTCTTCTTTTTATTAAAAATATAAAAAAACAATAAATTACAATACATTTTATTTCTGAAAGTACGGAAGTTAATTCGATTAATAATGCTGTTTTATTGAAACGTATCTTGTGTTATAGGGGTCGGGGGTTCGATTTTCTGTCGTGTATAGAAATAATGTTTTCCGAATACTATTTGCATGTGCATGTCCAGTCCTTTTCGAAAAGGCGCTGGAGTTAGCTGCTTGAACAAAAAACCTAAATACGGGAATGATATTTTCAGATTTATATATGAATCTGGCGCGAATCTATCAGGAATGGAGTGTGCTAATGATGACCATCCCTTGAAGGACACCAGCAGCAATAAGCCACAGAAACCAAACACGATACCGCTTATAACAGAGGTAAACTATAGAAAATTCTAGTACATTGTTGGGTATTTAAAATCATAAATTTAATTTCATATTTCTTATTATAGACAGTCAAATAAAAAAATACTTTTAAATGAGATACTTTAACGGTTTTAAATGCAAAATATATTAGCTAAACTTATTTAATAATTATTTTGTCATTGTTTTTGTCTATGGTAAAATGGCTGCTGCAAAGCATCCGAACCGAGGGGCCGTAGTTAAAATGATTTTCAAATAAGTTTAACTAGTGTATTTCGCGTTTTAAACCGTTAAAGTGTTGTACTAAAATGTGTACTACTCGCGTAAACTACAGACAGTCCGATATCAGGCCTTTGTTTTTTCAATCAACAGAAAACTGACGATGTAATACCACCAAACTTGTCGGCGTTGGAAGCTGAAATGAACTCGGTCGCGTTAGATTGGAAGAGTATCAAGAATGTCTCTGAATGCAGCTGTTCTACGCCCCTTGACCATTTCAGTAGAAAGGTAATTTTTGCAATTAGGTCTTATATGTTTTCACAGTTGGAAATACCTTTTAGTTAGGGTAAAAAATTATCAAGAAGTATATATACGTTACGCTTCGCTTTATTTGAAACTCTGTCTTCCAAATGGATAATCTTTTTTGTTTTAGATACGGACTCGGACCCAGAATTTTGGGTGTCGAATGGTATCAATTTTTTTGTCCTTTTCCATCAACAAATTAATTATCTTCTTCGGTTTTTGAGCTGTTTACCCATCGTAATTAAGAATTCGTTCTTAAAGTTTCGATATCATTTTCAACTCGCGCAAAATCCTCTGAAGGTTTGGAAAATGTCTGCGAAAGCCTTATACAATTAGTAAATTTATTATTCAAAACATGTTAAGAATACTCTTATGTGATTTAAATCACTACACCACTTTGCACTAGTTGTATTTTTATACAAGAACCTCGCATGAAGTTGTATGTTGTTCATACTAATATGAATTGTATGACAGCACCACTGTTGGGGTTGCGGTGGGTGTGTGTGCACGCGTTGTGTGACCCGCGCTCCGCTCCCCGCCCTTGCTGCACCCGCGCCTGCCCCGCTATGCGCCGCATGCGCACCTATCACGCCACATTCGTGTAAGTTCTACATACGAAAGCATGTATGTATTCAAAGACTTCTTTAATTTACATATCTTAAGGTAATCCTATTTTTTCCAGACTTAAACCACCAAGAGCCCAGAAATTGATCAAGCATGCAGGCTGCCTGAACGAACTAAAAAATAACTGGAAGCAGCTTTCCGGTGTACAAAATCAGTTTAGTTGAGGATTAAAGAAAAATATTTTTGACAACTTCACCACCATTTCTTTTTTATCATTCATATCCGCTTGAAATACCTGTCCATATCTATCTTAGGCTTAAATCAACTTGAAACATTCCATGTCTAGATGTGTAAATATGTGTGATACAGTATTGAATATTTAATCAATCTTTAATTCTTAAGAAAAAAAATATATTTTGTAACATTTCACTGTAAAAAAAATATTTCGTACCTTTATTACTTAATTTAATTAGGCATTTCAATGGGAAATATAATATGTGAAATGTTCATTATCTTTTATTGTAAAGGTGTTGTTTAACGACAGCGACTAGGACATCTAAGGACTACCATATATTTTATGTGGCACAAAATTAGACATTTAAATTTAAAAGGCGGTTGAAGCCATGTGCAATAGTTAGATTCTATTGTTACGCTTTTTTTTCTAATCAAATTTGATTGTTCTTTTGACGCTTGTTAGTGTTATCACTTGACAACTTTATAGCTCCAATAAAAAATAACAGGGTACGAAATTAATCTATATTTACTCAATCAAACCGTGACTTTCAGACGTATACTCTTTTTAAAAAAAGGAGAATGATTGTAATTTTGTTAGGCCTATATTCTCTCATACCATTCATACATTGCGGTGATAAAGTAAAAAATGGTATGACAGAAGTGATGGGGATTGAAACCGGTAACGATATAAAAATCGATAAGAATACAATAATTACTCAAAATATGAAGTTAACAACACGCAATTATAAAAAGGGTAAGTTTTTTAATACTACCTTTGATACCTTCAAAAGTCAGTAAGTTAAAAAATATATTTATCAGTTATACGAAAAATAAAACAATTCTAAACTTCATAACAGATAACCATGGTTGAGTGCTCGTGACGTTTTCCTATTTTCCTTAAAAATAATTAATTAGTTATAATTACAAGATAAATTTCATTTTAAAAATTATAAATTATATTTACTTAAAACAGAAAAACAAGAACAAGAACCGGATTGGTCTTACAGTTCAATTCCTATAGATGTCTCAGAGCATGCACAAGAATTTAAGCGGAATATGACCGAATGTCTCAAGGAGGTTCAAGCTGCTAAACCTCAAATCAGGAGATTATCGCCCAAAATGGAATCTCCAGTACACGGAGAATGCCTTATAGCGTGTGTTTTAAAAAGGAACGGTGTTATAGAACGTGGTAAAATACATAAAGGTAACTTAAGTTGTGTAAGAAACCTAAGAGATTAGTTTATTAAATCATAACTAGATTTAAATTCATCAGGGATTTTTTGGACTCCTTACAGTCCTGTTTATACCTTTAATTTAGCTAAGAGGCAAAGCTTGACTAATTCTGTCTTTTCCAGAGAACCTTATTCTTCTAATAAAAAAATTCTACCCAAAGGAAGACAAATTAATAAAGAAGCTAGAACGCAATATAAATAAGTGTATTAATATGAGTGTCAAGAATAAAGATGAATGTGCACTAGCTGAGCAGTTAAATCAGTGCACACACAATATAATGATGAATAATAATAAGCATAAAATTGTGGAAAATAAAAAGAACTAATTTAAATAAAACACTTTAACGGTTTAAAACGCGATATATTAGTTAAACTTATTTGGAAATGAGTTAAAAATCATAGACAGTATTTAAAAAGCACTAAGTTAAATTTTCTGCATGATAAAGGAAATTTTTTATTGATTACCTTGCCTGTAAAATATAATACATCTTCATAACTTTCTGAGACTCCATACTGCATGAAGCAGAAAATAATTTTCACACACTATTGTAATACATTCAAACCTTTTTTTACTATAAATAATCTGATGTTTTTATCTAAGGACATTGTCTAGGACCATATATCGAGGTTTTGTCCTAGAATTTAATAGAGATAATACAGTGTACACGATATATTCAAAATCAATGTTATCATGATTCTGCTTAATTAGGTGCAATATTAAGAAGGTTTAACACCGTTAGGTTTAAGTGTATAAGACATCTCTATTTTATAGTTTCTATCAAAATTCAGCTGCAGAGTGAATCGTTAATATTATCCTGGTCAATATGCCCTTCATTTGTTTTCAAAAGTTTCAATATTTCTCGGCGAGCACATTTTGCATCAACCAGTCTCATAGTGTTCAATCTTTCCGTGACATGCCTGCCGAAGAACCAATAATTCTGTCCTTGTGAAGGTACATTTAAAGGTGACATTGTGACTATGAGATTATCCAAAACCTCCTTACATTGCTTCATTTTCCTCTTCGATGATTTGTACTTTTGAGGACTATAAATATGCTGACCTCTTTGGCGTAAATTTATAGGAGGTTCATCTAGATCTGCTTCAAAATTTTCAGGCTTTCCTTCCAGTGTAGAATATTCCTATAAGAATAATTACCTCATTATTTTGAGGACATAAAGTAGTAATTAATATGATAAAAAGTTAGGTACAATAACAGGAAATAACAAACAACAATGGTAACAAGCAATGGTATCTACTTATGTTATCTATCTATATAGTCTCCAGCCCATTTGGATTTTCATATCACCCATATCAGTTGATAGAAAAAAATGCATCTTGATTGAAGATTGTCTTACCTCTAAGACACTTTCCTCACTCTTTGTCGGGTCTCTCAAAAACTGCAAAGCTTTCCAAAGTGGCCAGCAAGGTGTATACACCTCATCCTGATTTTTGGCCATTTTTTCAGATTTTAGTACTTTGCGAAGGTTGTGATTGAATGTACTTCTTATATTGGCCCAACGGTCTCTAACAGATCTGGCTACAACATTTATAAGCTTATCAGTATTTTAAATAAAAAGTAAGTGACAGCCATCAATACTAAGGATGTTATTGAAAACAATTTATCCTACGATCAACCCTAATTACTCCATAACCTTAAAACGATGCAGGATAGTGAGTGAGTGCAGGAGTAATTACATTTACAAACACATATCCTAATGGTTGATTTTTTTATTAATGTAAATATTTGTACATAACATACATAATAATACAATAATAAAGTATTAAATACTTTACCTGTAAATTCGCGACCTAACTTTGATGCGAACTCGGCGTAGGCTTTATATTTCTGCTGAATGTGATGATTCGTGTTACCAACTGGCTTCCATATGATATCCTTCTTGCGTATGAATTCTACTAATTGAAAGTCTAATCTCCGAGACCAGTAACACGTTCTTCTAGGCATTTTGTTAAACAAGTATACTTTGTGGCGTAAAAGGCACCAAAACACTAGTTTTCTCTGAGAAGTTACTGCTAAAATCAGAAAAAATCTAGACCAAGATTAGTCTCGGAACATATTGACTACGCGATGGATAGATTGTTTGTTTGTGTTTATCATAATATGGTTCACGGTTTTATAATCAAACAACAACATAGTATTATCTATGGATAATTGACTAGGACACAGATAAGAGCCATATACAGTTATTGTATTTGTCATGCTACTATAGATATTTAGTATGACAAAAAAAGCACTTTTAAGTTAAATTAAATCTAACAATCAAAAATTTTAATTTCAAATGTGAATAACTTTAAATAAGTGGTGCGAACTAGTTGATTTCTCGAGTTTCCCATTTCGGACTAAGAACTATTGTTCGAGTTGACATGAACGCCATGCTGTAACTGTTTTCAAGTGTTAGTATTATTTTAATTATTAAACTGTATGTGGTAAGTGTAATTTAGTATAAGATGTCAACTAAAAAGAAAATGTATCAAATGTATCAAATGTTAGACTGCGTGACGGAAGTTCTCGTAAACGGATTAAATATTCCTTTACCGAAGTTAATAGTAATTGACTACAGCTACCTCTGCAACTCTTAAATTAAAAGTGTAGTTACAAGAACAGGGGCAGCCTAAGTCTTCGCTAACGATTTAAAATTTGATTGATAAAATTAATTTAAAACTAACCTAAATAGAACAATTTCTTCAAATAGAAAGTATGGCTGAATATTGATTATTGTTTATTTAAAATAAAAAAAGTTTTCAAATAAAACACTTTGACGGTTTGAAACGCGATATATTTTAGTTAAACTTGTTTGAAAAATGGTCTCCCCGTGACCACGGCTGCTCCAAAGCACCCGAAACGTCGGGCCGTAGTTAATTTTCAGACAAGTTTCACTAAAACATGTCGCTTTTTAAAATGTTAAAGTGGTTTTATTTAAATGTGTACTTCTTATGTAACCTATAGACAGTATTTAATAAAAAAAAGTATTTTTACTTAACTTTGAAAGTACAACAAAGTTATTCAGTGACTTCGAAGTAAAAAATAGAGGAATGTTATTATAGTTTTTGCCAAATTTTGGTGTTTATTTAACGTTTCGTGCTGTTGCTCTACCAAATGAGCCACCGTATCATGTCGTGTGGTTAGACCGACTGCACGGAACACTGGGTGACGGTTTAAGACCTGCCCGTAGTGTTTGTTTTTTAAACTAAAATCGATTTTTAATGTATGTAGTGCACGCGAATCACGTAAAAATTATTAAAGTTTTCAAACAATAATCTACTTAAAATTTCCAGCCACAATACAATTTAACTTAACTTATATTTAAAATGGAATACCCCATCTCCCAAAAATACACACTTGCATATTCTGTGCTTAAATACTGTCTATAGTTTATGCGAGTAGTACACTCTCTCACACACACAGTAGTAGTAATATTAGTAACTAATATACCGCGTTTTAAACATTTAAAGTGTTTTATTTAAATATTCTGTGCTTGCTTAAAATTACCTGCATTTGCTTAGACGGAAGTTCCTTCATTAACCCAGATGTAGAGTTCGCATAAGCGCCTTCCAAGTTAGCTGTTTAAAACTTCTACGCATTTAACTATTATCTTCTAACTTAGAAGCCATTCCTTATAATTGTCAAGGTCATCTCTATTTTCTTTTTAATACCATTGTTTAGTAATTATCGTTAGTATTAAGATGAAAAATCACACTATGGCATATAATAATTAAATGTATATTTTAGCGCAATTTATTTTAACATTGAAAATATGCTTCGCGTGGTCTCGAACTCACGGCCACGCTTTTCCTAGCACTTGCTGTACCGATTCATTTTGGGATTCGATTCCCGCTCGTGCCATGAAAGTTTTCTCTCTGATGTATTTTACATTGAAAAATATACATAAAAGTATGTTATAGTTTATTAATATTAACGTGCCATTCGTAAGTTACGTCGTCTGTTGTAGCAATGGCTTTACGTAGTCTTATATAACCCCGTTAAAAAATAAACGGATTTGCGTGACCTCACGAATATTTTGATTATTTCGATTAGCATGCGGTTACTATAATAAACAGACCTTCACACTTAATAAACATATCGATCAATTGTTTTATACGTAATCACGTTTGCAATTTTGTTCCCACCAAAATAAATAGAGAATGCTGTGTTTAATACAACTTTTATTTGTCGAAATGTTAATAGATGAACCTACATAGATACTTACCGTAGTTTACGCGGGTAGTACCTACACATTTAAATAAATAAATTTAATGGTTTAAAACGCCATAGTTAAACTTATTTGAAAAGAGTTTAATTACAGCCGCACGTTTCGGATGAATTGCAGTAGCCGTGGTCACGGGGAGACTAAAGATAGAGGGCGTCTCTAATGTCAAACTAAAAACTGCTACGCTATCGCCACCTGTTCTGTTTTGCCTGTCGGTCAACATACTCGCACAAACTTTCGCATACAATATTAATAAGTTAGGAAGTAAATTGTAAACTAAAAATTTTGGCTGACTTACCAAGGAAATAAAAATGGTTATAAAAATTTGTCGGAATGAACGACATACAGTCATACACTCTTTTTTATTAATAAGAGCTAATCGTCCGAATTCTGTTTCCCCTCCCTGTGGGGCACGGGGCAACCCATTTCTGTCTCCGAGACTCCGAGGTTGTAGAGGCACGTAGTTGATCAGACTTCTGTGCAATGCCGACCGAAATAATCTATTGTTTCTGGGATTCGAATCCAGGACCTCTCGCGTTTTACCCAATGCTAGACAATATGTTAACCGATTACAGGTGCATATAAAATAAACTTACATATTTTAATCTTTGGAATCTTAATTTGTGTAAATTTTATATTACTGCTATTAAAATAACGCCTATGACAGCTCATATGTAAGTAATCGACTAAGCCAGAAAGATTTGAGAGGCTTTACCTTGACTTGGTAAAAGAAGTTCTCTTTTTCTATATTAAACTAAGTTTCATATTTTTAAATATATTGATTTACAAATGCTGTAGTCATTCAAGTCGTTCTTATGTTAATACTTGAATATTTTATTCATAATCGATGAACATTTATATGATAATCAAACCATACCTGTTTAATAAACGTAATCCTCAAATGTCTAAATAGGGCTTTTCAAAACCAACTTTCCCACCTACACTTACCCTAAAAATTATTTCCAAACTAAATCAATTAAGGTCAAACAAATGCTGTTTTCTCTAACTATTTTCAGGATTCAATTATCGTTATGAACGAGGGAGTAGGTGCTAATCTTCAGTGTTGCGAGCTAATGGGTAGTCCCTTATTTTAGGGATTATACATCGCTATAACAAGTTTATAACACTTGTTGAGTTATTTGTTTAAATGAAAAACTGAAAAAAATGTACAGCGGTAAAGTTTATTATTTGTTTACTACGGATTAATAATATAAAGATTCTATAAATATGTAGTATTAAATAAAGCAGAAGATTTGTAAAGCTGTAATGAAATCATTTTGATTGAACACGTAACGTTAATAAATTGAATTAGTGGGTACTAATAATGACGATATCGCGTGATTTATAAGTTTACAAGACTTTTTTACCTCATATTATTGAACATTCCATTGAACGAAATGAACTGGAACCTATATTCCTTATTTTAAAAATTGTTAGCATGCACAAAATAATAACATCAATGAAGAATTTAGGATCTACAGTTTTATTTGGCTTTCGATGCTTTCAAATCTGACATTACAGTCTGATAAGTCGAATAAGAGCAATATTTTTCATCAACGTATTAACGTGGTAATATTTTTTACTATTTTTGTTATATATGCAAAAAATATATCTTAATCATAAAGTAAACAATATTTAATTGTTTAGCGTCTCAAAATTAAATTGACAAATAGTTTAATTACTGTGTATAGTTTACGCGAGTAGTACACATTTAAATAAAACACTTTAACGGTTTAGAACGCGATATATTAGTTAAAATTATTTGAAAATGATTTTTAACTGTGGCTCGACGTTTCGCACGCAGCAAAATCATTTTCAAAAAAGTTTAACTAACATATCGCGTTATACCGTTAAAGTGTTTTATTTAAATTAGTTTAATGATAAAAACGTCTGACAATATCCGAATCGAACATTTAGAGAAATAACGCTTAATTTATACATTTCCAGTCGTCGGAGCAACGCGTTCTCATTCCACGAAATAAAAGCTCCAACAAAAATGGCTGCAAGACCAGCTCGACACTATTATTGTACTTTTTTCTTTTCTGTTTAGTTCTGATCGTTTTCCTATATTGCGGTTGCTTTTTTTCTATTTACATCGTTTATGTGGGTTTCGGTTGTGAATATAGAAACGTCGATTCGCTATTTTCATCTGTTATTGCATGACTTCCGTATGTAACATTAATTGGTCTTATCAAAGTTTTAATTATAGAACTTAAGAAAACAACGTTTGGTTCACGCGTAGGTATTTGAGGCCGTGGCTTATGATTCTATGCTTTTTTTCTCTGAAGAAATTAGAAGTCAGACTAGTTTATGGTCAATATCTGTCACACGTAAAGAAACCACAGACGAAAGTACAGTATTAAGCTTACGTGTTCATATAGGCTGTTATTTATAAAAAAATAATGTTGATAAAGAATACAATTAATAGTAAGAGATGACATTATATGGCATAAACGTAAAAACGTTTCACAGATAATTTATGAATGTATAGTAAGTTAAAACAAACATATATCACACTAGCTGAGCCTGCGACTTCGTCCGCGTGGAATAGTGACTTGGGGTAGAATTTTTAATTATTTAGTCTGTTTATTAATTTATGTAATTGCGCATTTATCCCAGCCAATCTATGTTGTAAGTGCTACTTTGCCGCAACACTCTCACCTCACATCACTCCTGCTCTAACTCCCACACCTCCCACTCGAACTCCCACTCCCACTCCCTCTCCCACTCCTACTCC